AAGGTTTTGGAGTGCGGGGGGGGGGGGAGGTCTAGGTTGGATATTAGGAAAAGCTGTTTCCCTAGGAGGGTGGTAAAGTACTGGGATGGGTTCTCTAGGGAGGTGGTAGAATCTCCATCCCTAGAGGTTTTTACGTCCCATCTTGTCAAAGCCCTGGCTGGGATGATTTAGTTGGGATTAATTTTGCTGTGGGCAGGGGGCTGGACTCGATGACTCCTGAGGTCTCTTCCACCCCGGGATTCTATGAGTCTATGATTCAAATGGCAAGAGCCTGTACAGAGGGATCAGTTTTAAACTCCAAGCTAGGAAAATGTCCCTTGAATCTTTTAACACGCTTATAATTCCCTCAAAATCAATCACAACTGTGTTTAACAACCAGTTATTGGCGCATTAACAGCTCTTGGCTTCACCGTGGGTCATTAGCGAACACAAAGTAGTTGTTAGCCAGCAATAGCAACCACTGACTCAGGGATTATTCAATTTTATTGTTGGATTTGCCATCCACTGGCCGGATTCTAGAGAGGGACTCACATGGCCCTTGTGAGCAGGGGCTGGCAAGATATGGCCCAGGAGCTGGATCCAGCCCGCCCACCCTTTTAACCCGGACCACCCACCCATGTGGCTAGCTGCTTCTTGTGGCCCTTTGAGTTGTGGCGGTTTGGAGCAGGCTTTGCGCACTGCCCCGGGCCCCCAGCAAAACCTCTCAGCTCCTAGAGGCTGGAATCCTTTTCTACACCCATATCCCTCTTGGACTCTGCACCCCAGTCTCCTGCCATAGGTGCTAACCCCCTCCTCTACCCAAACTCTCTCTCAGATCCAGTACTGTTTCCTGCACCCCAGTCTCCTACCCCAACCTCCTTTCTGAACCTTGCCTCTGTCCCAACCCCACAACCCCTCCATTGAAAAGTGCCACCCTTGACCCCTCACCAAAATCTTGGAGTGCCTCTCCTGAAAAATTGCCTCCCCCCTGCTCTTGAGCCCCACTGTATCTTCTTCCCCCTTCTCCTCTGACACCTTGTCATTGTCCCTGCAGGTCTGTCACCTGATTTGGGGCTCTTGCCCGCTTCCACAGACAAGTAATAAATCATCCTCATACATGGAGATGAGGCATGATGGGGTCACTCCGACTAAACAGAATCATCCCTGCATTCAGCAAGAACCAATTTCATGTCTTGCTCCGCTTTCCGTGAGCCACTGGTTTCGGCAGAATGGCCTACTCTATGGCTCTGTACTCTTGCCCTCTTATCTCTTCGCTTCCGAAGTGGTGTCCAGGTGACACCACAAATACCTTTACCACATTCTGAGGTAAAAAGCTGACGTACCAGCAGAAGTTGTTGGTTCGTTGGGTCCCGTCTTTTGATGGTAATCTCTTCTGGACGCTTCCATGGAAGGCTGCCCACAGCTTACCTCAGGCATGCATCTGTCAGAACTAGAATGCTAGACCTCAGAGCTCTCCTGAGCTCAAGCAACAATTGTCCTTTGCCTGAAAGCTTGGAAATTGTTAATCCAGGTTATCCTCCTCCTGAAATCACCGCAGCTGAGACCCTCATGCAGTCTACAGGTGAAGGGCCTAATTACTACCCTTCCCGATTGTGTATCCATGGCAAATATTACAGAAATCAAAGGGGGTTGCTCAGAGTTTGGGTGTCTCTAGACTACAGGGTTTTGTCAACAAAAGTGGCCTTTTGTCGACAAAACTATACCTGAGTCTACACTACTGCCCAGTTCTTTCGACATAATGTCGACAGAACTCGGCAATTTTGTCGACGGCAGTAAACCTCATTCTATGAGGAATAATGCCTTTTGTTGACAGAGTTCTGTCGACAAAAGGCGTTATTGCATCTACACCATCCTTTGAGTCTACACTGTCATGTCAACAAAGTGGCTTGCTTTGTCGACAGAACTGAATGTAGTCTAGACACTCTTTGTCGACAGAAGCTTTGTCGACAGAACTGGATGTAGTCTAGACACTCTTTGTTGACAGAAACTTTGTCGACAGTATCTGTCGACAAAGCTTCTGTCAACAAAAGCCTGTAGTCTAGACATACCCTATGTGTGTAGGTAAACAGCCAAGAGAAACAGAGAAGATGATTGACCAGGTCTTGGATCTGTGGCTTCTTCATAGGACTTAAATGCAAACAGAACTTCACACTTCTCCTTCAGTGTATCCCGGGGCCTGTGAGCATCAGAGAGACTAAGGCAGCTCCTTCACACCTGGAAAGTTTGTGCAGGTGTCTGGTGTCTGGCTGCATTGTTCTCCCTCCCAAAAGGAGAAACCTATTGTAGCAGCAGCCGAGGCCTCAATCAAGCCTGGGGTCTCATTGTTCTAGGTACTTGTACGCTCAGATAGTAAGAGTCAAAAGAGCCCAAAAGGTTAGTATCTCCATCATAAAGAGGTGAAGCTGAGGCAGAGAGATTTAGAGCTTCACCCAGGGTCACGCGGAGGGTCTGTGGCAGAGCTGGGAACAAGACCCAGCTCTACTTAGTTCCAGGTCAAGTGTTATTCACAAATACAGATTGGACCTCTCTAATCAAGCACCCTCGGGATCTGACTGTGCTGAACCAGGAAATTTGCCAAACTACAAGAGGTTAAAATTGTCTAGCAGCATTACCACCAACACTTCCACTGCTTGCTAGGCTATTCGAGGACATTTAGGGCATGTCTATACTAGAAATTATTTCAAAATAACTAAATTTGAAACAATAACTCCCAAAATAACAAAATCAAAATAGCGTATCCGCACTAGGGAGAAGCCTGGAAATTAGTCCAAGGCAGGCTCTGTTATTGTGGATGTGCTACCTCGACTTTACTCCCCAGTGCTTCCTGGGGCTCTATTATTTTGAATGACTCTGTGGAGTAGTTATTTCAAAATAGCAGCAGTAGAGTGTCCATACAAACGCCATTTCAAAATAACAATTTTGAAATAAGCGTTATTCCCCGAGGAATGCAGGGTATAAAGAAATAAGGGGGGTTCTTTCAAAATAACTCCCTAGTGTAGACCAAGGCTTAGGGGTAAATTAGAGCTAAATAACAGCACAGACCACTGAGAGATTGATTGCTGCAAAAAAACTTTATGGGACTGTGGAAAAGTCTTGGCTTGAAAAAAGCCCTGGCTGAGTTCATTTAGTTGGGATTGGTCCTGCCTTGGGCAGGGGGCTGTACTTGATGACCTCCTGAGGTCTCTTCCAGCCCTAGGATTCTATGAAACTTGGCCACACCCATGATAAATGGACACCCAGCTAACTAAAATCATGCCGGATCACAGATGTTGCCGGACCAGATGTGATGTAGTGTCAGTACCTTGCTGGTTGCTGTGTTTGGGTTGCAGGCTGTAGATGACCCCTACTGGCCTCTATCTGTAAGCACTGCCCAGCAGTGGGCATCTTGAGGGTCACCATGACAGTGACCAAACTGGTTCTACCGGTTACGGGAAGGGATGGAAAAGGAAGTGGGGGAAGGGTCAGTCTTGGGCTGGAACCATGAAGGGGACAGACTAAGGAGGGGCTGGAATCTAGGGGCCCAGGGACCCCATCTCAAGGGGTCTGACGCATCCTGGCTCAGACTCCTGTAGACACATCGGCTGTGTCTACACTGGGCCACTTATTCCGGAAAATCAGCCGCTTTTCCGGAATAAGCTGCGAGCTGTCTACACTGGCCCTTGAATTTCTGGAAAAGCAACGATGCTCTACTGTACAAAATCAGCCGCTATTCCGGAAAAACTATTCTGCTCCCGCTCGGGCATAAGTCCTTATTCCGTAACACTGTTCCGGAAAAGGTCCAGTGTAGACAGCCCAGTAGTCTTTTCCGGAAAAAAGCCCTGATCGCGAAAATGGCGATCGGGGCTCTTTTCCGGAAAAGCGCGTCTACATTGGCCACAGACGCTTTTCCGGAAAAGCAGCCTGCCAATGTAGATGCTCTTTTTCCGGAAATACTTATAACGAAAACTATTCTGTTTTAAGCATTTCCGGAAATTCATGCCAGTGTAGACACAGCCATCATGTCTATGCTGTGCTGTATCCTGGAGAAGCAATAAACCATCTCTATTCTACTGGCTGCTGGAGTCTGTTCTTTCTACTATGAGGGTGCAGCATCGGGGGAACCACGACACATCATCACACCAGACCAGAGAGTTGCCGGACTAGAGAGGTTCATCTGACTACCAGATCAGAACAGCACTGAGAAGACAACAGGCTAGCATGTCCCTCACCAAAAAATAAAGCAATAAGGACAGAAAAAAGTCGATGGAGAAAAAGTTGAAGTTCCAAGCAAAAATATTAGCGTTTTCTCCATCTGTTTTTTCTTCTCTTGTTCTTGTTATTTTTGTTTTGAGGAACTGACTCTCAATGGCCGTGCACTGGACATGAGCACTAGGGTTATTTCTGGCCATTTGCTGCTGCTACAACATTTCTTGCTGCATCACCACCTTTCCCACCACTGGAGAAGCAAGTGAGGTTATCTGTTTAGCCTCTCAGCTTTCTTTTCTTTTCAGTGCCCTCACCATAGAAAGGTAAAGCGGGTCCATACTTAACAAAAATACTACCAATGGCAACTGACCCCTCCGAAGTTCCCAGGTGAAGCTCTAGATGAAAAAGGGGATAGACATTTGGGTGCTTGCCCAGATGTACTCAAACCTTTTTGCTCGGGAAATCTCATGAGACCAAGCTTTTTCTGGTGACCCTTATGACTAACTGGCTTTGCTCAGGTCATGAATACCTTGCGCATAAGCATTTTTGGAATCTCTGCTCCATGGCACAGCTAATACCAAATTCCGGGACTTGTCAAGTTCTGAGACTTGATTAAGATTATGAATATTAATCACTCCCTAGTTATATTGTCAAATTAGCATCTTTGTGCTTTTTGCTCCTCCTACTTGGCAAAAGCCCCTGCCAAGCTACCTCAGTCTCTTCCTTCATATTCCTCCTTAGAACCTTCCTTTGCTGTGATGCCCACAAAAAACTCTGACCTCTGCAGACTACTACAGTGATATAGTTTCCTTGTGCTCCTCCATCTGGCTGGCTGTAGCCACCTGATCCCTCTGGAGTTGTATGAGATTATGCGCTCTTTGGGACAAGACCACCTGTTTGTTCCGCGCCTAGCACAATGTGGTATTTGCCCATAACTGGGGTATTTGGCACTAGTGGAACAGTATTATAAATGATAATGAAACACTTTGGGGGGATTGGTTCAAATCTCAAAGAAAGGAACGTGTTCAATGTAAACAGTGACTGAAAGGTCATTTCTGATGTGTCTGGATGCTGAGATACAATGATGATGGACAGCACAATAAAAACCATAGATGGACTGATTTTGCTATGTGGGTTGGTTTAATCAAGGGGGTCAATTTATCCCTCCAACATGGCGTGGAGGGTTGCTAATGGTTTATGGGCCCTTTCACCTAGAGGACCCTGAATAGGCTGCTGAGATTGAAACTCATAGCTATGTGAGCGCTGTTGGATGACCTGTGCCATGAATTGGTAGGTCTCAGTTTGGTTCCTAGCAGGCTGGCTTCTCATGATTTAAAAGGTATCATTTCTGCTGGCTTCAACCAGCCAACGTATGAATGGGCAGAGCATCTAAATCACCCTATAAAACCCTTACAGCTTGTGCATCCCAGCCCCAAGTCCGAAGCTCAGGGGTTGGGACGCATGGGGGAAACTTGAACTACCACCTCCTATGAGGCAACTCTACGGAAGGTCAACAAAGAATTTACATCTCCAGAGCCGTTCCTCTGGTGTCATCTTCTGTCCATAAGGCTATGTCTAGACTGCAGGCTTCTTTCGAAAGAGGCTCTTTCGAAAGCATCTTTCGAAAGAGCCTCTTTCGAAAGATCGCGTCTAGACTGCAGGCGGATCTTTCGAAAGAGAAATCCGCTTTTTCGAAAGAGAGCACCCAGCGAGTCTGGATGCTCTCTTTCGAAGACGGCCTCTTTACATTGAAGAACGCCTTCTTTCGAAAGAGGAACTTTCGAAAGAAGGCGTTCTTCCTCGTAAATTGAGGTTTACCGCCATCGAAAGAAAAGCCGCGTTCTTTCGAAATAATTTCGAAAGAACGTGGCTTGAGTCTGGACGCAGGGGAAGTTTTTTCGGGAAAAGGCTACTTTTCCCGAAAAAAACCCTGAGTCTGGACACGGCCTAAGTAAACTTCTAAGGGAGGAACTTGACTGACGTCAGAAAGGGGAGCGTTTTGCTTTGCGCCGTTGTAGAGATACCTGTAACAATGAGATCACCTCCCACAGGTCCAGTGGAGCATGTCCATCTGAACAGCCCCTTCGTTGCCATCAGGAACAAGGAAGTCAACCTTACTGCTGTAGTATGGCCAAGTCAATCGGGTACTGTCATCTACTTCTGGTGGTTCGGTAATAGCACGAAGGTATGTCCCCTTTTTATCATATTTTACTTACTTCAGTGGTTTGGCAGGGCAGGCTATTGTTTGAGCAGAAATGAAAACAACCTGCTCTTGCTGTGGTTTTTTTCGCCCTTGGATCTAAAAAAAGATTTATGCATTATCTGAACTTTGCCCATTGCGATTTATCCTACCCCTTCTGGTGGTGATGCAGGAGACATTACACTTTTGTGGCTGCTTATTATTGTGCTTGGCAAACCATTGCTATTACTGGAGTTTGCTTGCGACTTAACAAAATTATAGACCACTATATACTGGATAATGCTGGGTTTCAACACAGCATTAAACAGCAGCTGGTGTTCAAGTAACCACCGGTGTTTCCATTATATACCAGTATACCGTGTATAATGTGGGATTCCAACACAGTACTTGGAAACGGCTGGTGTTCTAATAACTATCGCTGCCTAGAAATTCAAGCGTGGCTCTCAGTGCATTGTCCCTGCCTGCCCATGCCGATTGTTCAGAGCCATGAACACATGCTAAGTGAAGGGATTAGCAACATCCGCTGCCTACTACCGAGAGTCTCTTTATAAAAAGTTGAAATAAATTCTAATGGAGATTTTGGAGATGTTTCTAAAGCAATCAGCCAGGAGATTGCCTGCCTGAAATGCTCGTTAATGTTTGAGAGACCTCTGACCTACAACTTCAGACTCTGGCCTCCATTCTGCTGGGCTGTGTCTACACTGGGCCACTTATTCCGGAAAATCAGCTGCTTTTCCGGAATAAGCTGCGAGCTGTCTACACTGGCCCTTGAATTTCCGGAAAAGCAACGATGCTCTACTGTACAAAATCAGCCGCTATTCCGGAAAAACTATTCTGCTCCCGCTCGGGCATAAGTCCTTATTCCGGAACACTGTTCCGGAAAAGGGCCAGTGTAGACAGCCCAGTAGTCTTTTCCGGAAAAGCGCGTCTACATTGGCCACAGACGCTTTTCCAGAAAAAGGGCTTTTCCGGAAAAGCAGCCTGCCAATGTAGACGCTCCTTTTCCGGAAAAACTGAAAACGGAATAGTATTCCGTTTGAAGCAGTTCCGGAAATTCATGCCAGTGTAGACACAGCCCTGATGTCTCTGTAAATTGCAGACATAGCGTGATTGCAGTTTTGTGTCCATCTGTAGGGATGAAGACGTGTCTGCTCACTTCAGGGTCTACAGCCCTGATTCACAAGGCCAATCGGGAACTAAACCTATGAACATAAGAATGGCCGTACTGAGTCAGACCAAAGGTCCATCCTGCCCGGTGTCCTATCTGCCGACAGTGGCCAATGCCAGATGCCCTAGAAAGAGGAATCATAACAGGGAATCCTCATGTCATCCCTCTCCTGTCATCCATTTACAAACAGAAGCTAGGGACACCATTCCTACCCTTCCTGGCTAATAGCCATTGATGGACCTAACCTCCATGAACCTATCTAGCTCTTTTTTTTGAACCCTGTTAAAGTCCTAGCCTTCACCACATCCTCTGGCAAGGAGTTCCACAGGTTAACTGTGCGCTGAGTGAAGAAAAACTTCCTTTTGTTTGTTTTGAACCTGCTGCCTATTAATTTCATTTGGTGACCCCTAGTTCTTATATTGTGAGAATAAGTAAATAACTTTTCCTTGGTCACTTTTTCCACACCAGTCATGATTTTACAGATCTCTATCGTATCCCCCCTTAGTCTCCTCTTTTCTAAGCTGAAAAGTCCCAGTCTTTTTAATCTCTCTTTTGAATCCCTAATCACTTTTGTTGCCCTGCACTGTTTTCACTGCAAAAAAAAAAAGTGTGGTGTGTTTTTTTTTACTTGGAGATAGTTACTCTCCCCATCTGGGATTGATCTTGACTAGCTTACATCGAGTCGAATACTCAAGTTAGCTACCTTCATGTCAAAAGGCATCTACTGTGGCTGTGAAGCCCTAGCTTTAGACATCAAGGCAGCATAAACTGCAGGTGGACAATTGCCCCTACAGTTCTGTGTGCTCTCTAGAGGTCATGTAAAGGATGGGGGATGAAGTTTGGAGTAAGATAAGGAAGGGAAAGCAGGAGGCTGGACTTGATGACTTCTGAGGTCTCTTCTGGCCCTAGGATTATAGGATTCTAAGATGGGAATTAAATAGCTAAAGATTCTGTCTGAGCTCTAAGGGTATGTCTACACTTGCAGCCTATTTCGGAATAGGGCTGCAAATGCAGGCATTCGGAATTGCAAATCAAGCCCGCAATTTAAAAATCCCGTGCTCGATTTGCATCTTCCTGGCTGGGCACCATTTCTGAAATTTACAAGCCCGGAATAACTGCCCGAATCATTTGCCTCTCAGTGCAACCTCGAATCAGTGGACAGGAACATTAAGGCAGATATAGATGCCACGATGAGGGATACTTTAGAAGGGCATGTACGAAACAAATTTAATGCGAGTAAAGGTGATTAGTCGCCTATCTAGTCTCATCAGATTGTGTTCACTGAAGTGTTTTGTCTCTCAACCTAGGGATCCAGAATTCTCTGTAGACTTTAATCCGCTGCAAAGGACCAGTGGTTGTCTATGTTCTCACCCTGAGAGCAGGGTGCATTACAAAGATGCCCGGGCCCCAGCATCTTGTCCTGTTGCATCACAGCCCTCGGCTTACAGATGGCAAAGGGAACACAGAGACACAGGGTGGTAAATGAGCAGAGGGGTGACTGTGATTGCAGAGTGATTGCAGAGGGGTGATTCCAATAATTGCAGCCTTAGCACAGCCCCTGTGCCTTTGTTTAGGTCTTGCACAGCAACAGCGGCAGGGATAGAAACTGGTTGTTCCCGGGGAGAACGCAGACAACCGACAGTGGCTGCATTGTGGATTTCCATGCTCAGGAATCATGCATTTTCTGATGCTTTCCCATGCACTCAAATGCATTCTTTAAAGATCCCCACTGCAGAGCCACTTCCCTTTTAAGCACACCCCAGACTGGATTCATCCCCTGCCCCACACCAGACACAGCCGCTGCAGCGAACTGCTGGTCGGCTGGATTTGCAATATAACCAAAGGCCAGTTGCTTGGGTTAACACAGGTTCAGTTTAATAAATGGGTCCAGCTGTCTAATGTGTTTGAGCAAATGAACCTTAAATGACTTGATTTAATTCCGAGTTACTTCCCGGGCCCTGATGCTTGAATGAAATCGGGGGACCTGGCTGAAACTTAAAACTCCACTATGGCAGGTGCAATCAACCTGAAAAATAGAACATTCAGCACATGCACACACCAGAAAACGGCAGTTTTAACGACAACACTGGCCGCTGTTTTCTTGGGATGGAATCGTGGCTGGTAATCCCTAGGACAAATGTTGATCTTCCCTGCTGTTTAAAAGTGCCCTGTTCCTCTGCTTCTGCATAGTGAGCATATAGTTTACTAGGCATAGGGCTGGTGTGACCAGATTAGTTCACTCACTCGGCCTCTGAGTCCCCTAAAGCTGAAATATCATGTCTAAGGGGATCAGCCTGGCATGGCTTGCTTGAGCAAGGGAAGGCTGTGTTCCCCAAGGAGAGATGCACAGCCAGCCTGCACCACGCCAAGTGAAACTCAGCTTTGGCTAATCACATGGCATGAGTGAGCCACAGCAGTGAAACAAAGAGTTAACCCAGGCAAATGAACCATCTGATGGGAGTCCAATGTGAGAGATGTGAAGGAAAAGGGTAAGAAGGGCCTGTGGGGGAGATTTATTTATGAGGAAGGGGCAGGTCTTTTGGCTAAGGCACTGAGTAAGACAAAGAGGTCAGATACCAGGCTCTGCCACAAATTCCTCATGCGACTTTAGTGAAGTCCCTTAGCCTCTCTGTGATTTGGCTCTCGTCTGTACTTGGGGTCATAATAATACCTCCCACTTTTCATCCGTCCATCTCAAAGGATGTCCGTGCCGTTGTTCCAGTTTTATACACGGGGAAACTGAGGTGTGCCTGCCCAAGGTCGCCTGCTAGCAGAGCGGGGAGCAGAATGCAGGGCTGTTGTGTCCCCCGACAGCAGTCCATCCACTGAGTCACGCTGGCTCCCTCCGTGGGGCATTGTGATGGTACCTGTATTAATGTCAGCTCCTCAGCTAGGACAGCCATGGAGGTCACAGCACTCCTCAGAGACATTGACAGAGATAAAGATGTAGCTCAGGTTAGAACTGCCTGAGTCTGGACACTGTGCAGACGTGGGGGTAGGTAGGGCATCCAAATTGGTGGTCCCACCTCCTAACTCTCCTTCAAGTCCATCTCTGTATGTGGCTTGGCAACCCAGCAGCTGTGCGGCAGGAGGGAAGAGAGCTGCATTCTGCAAAGACTGGGGGGTTGCCCACCGTGCTCCGTTTGGGGGTAAGTAGGAGGAAGGGGAGGCCGTTCAGCGAAAGGCGCCTTTGAGGCTGGATTTCAGGAAGCATTTGCAGTAGCGAGAGGTGCCCTTGGCTGTTGGGGAAGCCCTACAATGGAAGTTTGGGAAGGGCCGTGACTCATGTCCTGTACGAAACAGGTCCCCAGGAGCAATGCTGTATTAGCTGCTGGTGGGATGGAGAAAATGGCCCCGCCGGCCGGTTCTATGTGTCATTTCGGCGAGGCCAAGAAGATACCGTTACCCCAGTCCTAGAATGGGGTCCCACCAGCATGGCTTGTGTTTGGCTTTTGCAGCCCCTCATCACCCTAGAAAGCAGCGTCTCCTACACCTTCACCACCGAGGGGATGAACACCATCACGGTGCAGGTCTCCGCCGGGAGCACCCTCCTCCAGGACACCAAGGACATCGCAGTGCACGGTAGGTGCCGCCAGCTGCGGGCAAAGCTCGAGCAGGGGGTAGGCAGAGCCGAAGAGTCTCCCCAAGTCCCGCAGGCAGTGCCTACTCCACTGGATCTCAGTGCAGGACAAGCCTGACTAGCCCAGAGTCTTGGTGCTTGGGGGATCCTCCAGCTTCAGAGGCTGTTGGCCAGTTGCCCAGAGGAGAGCAGGTTTCATCGAGAGAGGATCCTAGCAGGGAGTGATTTGGTAAAGCACATTAACTAAACCCATCTAGCAAAGCTCTTGACTTAAATTGTTGCTCCCGCTTCTCTGAGGCGATGTCTACACTGCAGAGTTTTTGTGCAAAAATGGCCATTTTGGCGCAAAAACTCGTGGATCGTCCACACTGCAAGTGTGTTTTTGCGCAAGGAAATTTACAGTAGAACGCCAGAAGACAGGGCTTTTGTGCAAGAGTTATTCCTCTTTCTACGAGGAATAAGCCTTTTTGCACAAGAGCTCTTGCACAGAAAGGCGTGTGTGGATGGACACCAAGAGTGTCTTGCACAAGAAACCCCTATCGGAAAAAGCACAGGTGCTCTGATGGCCATTCTGTGATTGGCCATCAGAGCTTTCTTGCACAACTGTGTCCATGGCAGTGTGGACACTCTCTTGTGCAAAAGCATATCTCTTGTGCAAAAGCACATGGCAGTGTGAATGTGCTCTTGCGCAAGAACTTTTTGCAGAGGATCTCTTCCAGAAAAAGTTCTTGTGCAAGAAGCCTGCAGTGCAGACATAGCCTAAGTCTGGGATTTCTCCCTGGCTTGTTATTTCCCAGGTTCCTGGGAAGTCCAGAAATTCAAGGCACTAAACCTTGATCCTCAAAAGTGTTCATGCATCTAACTCCCATTGAAATCACAGGGCATCAATGGGAATCAATGGGAATCAATACCTCTGGGGATCTTGGCCTAGGACTTCCCAGTACAGTACCTACCTATCGGTATGTCTAGACTACATGGCTCTGGCGCCAGAGCCATGTAGATTAGTTTACTAGACATACCCAAATGAAGTGGAGATTTAAATAATTGCCGCTTCATTTAAATTAAAATGGCTGCTGCGCTGAGCCGACAAACAGCTGATTGGCTCAGCGTGGCAGCCATTTTAATTTAAATGAAGCGGCGATTATTTAAATTGCCGCTTCATTTGGGTATGTCTAGTAAACTAATCTACATGGCTCTGGCGCCAGAGCCATGTAGATTAGTTTACTAGACATACCCAAATGAAGTGGAGATTTAAATAATTGCCGCTTCATTTGGGTATGTCTAGTAAACTACTCTACATGGCTCTGGCGACTGAGCCATGTAGTCTAGACATACCCTATGAGTGTTATAGCTCTAATCTTCTTTGCATGGGAATCCACACGGCGTGTGTCTAGACTACAGGGTTTTGTCGACAAAAGTGGACTTTTGTCAACAAAACTATACCTACACTACTGCCCAGTTCTGTCGACATAACGTCGACGGAACTCGGCAGTTTTGTCGACGGCAGTAAACCTCATTCTATGAGGAATAACGCCTTTTGTCGACAAAGTTCTGTTGACAGAAGGCATTATTGCATCTACACTGTCCTTTGCGTCTACACTCTTGTGTCAACAAAGCAGCTTGCTTTGTTGACAGAATTGGATGTAGTTTAGATGCTCTTTGTCGACAGAAGCTTTATTGACAGTATCTGTCGACAAAGCCTCTGTTGACAAAAGCCTGTAATCTAGACGTACCCTTACTGAATCTCCGCCATTCCCGCTCGCACAGGGCACAACACAAATCCTGGACCGGGCACACCACAGGGCATTCCCAGAGTCCTAGTCTGGAGTATGGAGAGGAGACTTCCAGGATGTGACAGACATCTCTCCCTGTTCCACCCTCTCTTTTCACTATCCAGCTATCGCCCACTCTTGTCAAGAGCCTGGCCCTGCTCCAAGAACAAGGTTTTGAAATACGTGCCCTTCGGACGAGCGAGGCTGCATTGCATGTTCATCTTATTCCAATAATTCCATGTGAAAGAAATGCTCCTGTGGCTATGGAAAGCTAGTGGTTGAAATGGAACAACCAGATAAAGACGTCTTTATCAGCTGCGGAGCTGTGAAAATGCAGCAGTTTTTAGTAATCTGCTCACATGATTTAAGAGCACCTCTGTACATGTGTTAAGAGACCTCTGTAAATACATCTGACTCGCTTCAAGTGTGGTCAGCGGCACTGCACTTTTGTGGGAAACCATAGTCTCGGTGTGGCAGAAATCTGACTCCCTAACATGCTGAAAGAGCGTGTGTTGCATTGTGGTGTTGTAGGAGATAACAACCTACTGTTGCTACCGCCTCATGCAGTTTTCCCTTTTGCTCAAGTGGTAGACATCTGGGCTGTGAGGGTGAAAGCCCCAACTCCAAACATGTACAGGGAGTCATTGCATCTGCCACTGAGGGAGCCCTACTGTTGACGGTGGAAAGCCAAATTCCAGGTGTCAAAGGCTGAGACCTCCTAGTGCATCCTGTTAGGCTTTGTGGTGCTTCATTAGAATTATAGTCCCATGATAGCAGAGTGAGGGAGACAACAGGGCAGGGGCAGGGGCAGGCGGGGGGTGGCTTTTTTGGG